ACATGCTGTTTCATCATTTCAGTATATCGTGAATGAGTTGCATATAATTTGATTTGTTTACCAAAAAGAAAAGTGGTGCATGAGCAACTTATGACTCTCCTTGTCCTATTCATATTTTTAGTTGTTTTCTCTCTCAGACATTTGCCTGAAGACTTGAATATTTTGTTAGAAGGAAAGATAAGAAAGGTGAGCAAAGGTTTGAAGCGGTATCTTATAAGGCATTGCGTTGCATTGATATACTTGTATTATCATATTTTTAATTCCATTTCTTCCTTCCACTACCCCTCAAATCAAGGTCTCTTTTGATTATTATGGATATATCGGAAAAAATGAATTTTCAGTGAAGCTTGGTAATGGCTTTGTAGTATGTTGTAACTGTTGATAGTCAGAGTATTCCTATGGTTTGCATTTTATGCTGCCACTTTTCTTGATTTCACATATGCCAACTTTCCTATTCAGAATGGATGGGCGAGTTGTGACAATGCATTTTTTTTATAGGAGTGTTGATGGAAGAAAAGATTGTTAAAGGGAATGTTGTTCTTGTAACTGTACCGCTCTTTTTCGTTTCTTCACTTCCAGAAGAAGCTATTTCCTTTCGGGAGAGTGTGACAATAAGTCTTTTAGTTGCTTCTTTAAGCAGATTTCCATTTTCATCAAATTACTAGTCCTACATGGGGAGAGGAAAGAACTGATTTTTCGTCCACTATTCTTTTTGGAATCGAAAACTGATTGAATTTTTTGCTTCTAATCGTCCTTATCAGTAAATATTCATATCACTCGATAATTAAATATCTTTTTCAGTTTCTGAGTGGAAAAAATAGTTTTAATAGCTCTCTGATAACGTGATTTCTTTCTTTCATAAACTTTTCTTCTTTCCTTTTTTTGATGAAGAAAAATAATTTTAATGATTAATCGTCCATCGAAAAGAAATCTTTCTTTGTCGATAGTTGTTTTTTTCGGATTCTTTTCATAAATTAAGAGTCAAGTATTTGGAAAGGTTCCTCTAAAGTAATAAATCGAGTGAAAATTTTCTGGAAATGGTAAAAATACTTGAAGTGAATAATCCGAATGGCTCGTCCATACCTAGGATTATATGAAACGAAAAAACTTAAAAAGGAGGTTGAGAAAGATACATAATGGATTCAAAAAGAAACATGCATACCAACTTCAAAGTGGCATCATTATTACTACTTTTTATATTTTGGATTTTTTCTTTGCCGGTTTACGTTGAAATACTAAATTAATTTTTGCAAAATACTTTTTTTACAAAACATTTTTCATTTGGCTTATGGCACCTTTATGCTTTTTTTAAAGGAAAGAAGGAAAATAATATCTCTTTAAACAACACCTATGCAGCTAGTAATATGTTAATTCCTTAACTTCCTGAAATTTTAAATATTTTTCCTACTAAATTTATTGCTTGATTTACCCCAAGATTTTTAGCTTTTATCGAATAATACTTCCGTACGAATTTTTATCGTATTTTAGAGATTTGAAACCAGCATTTTAATTAAAAAACCATTTTGCAAATTTTATATAATTAACTAATTGTTAATGTTTCATTATCTGGTTTTGCTTTTTGAATGACCAAAAATCTTTTACTGTAGAGGATTTTTTTCGGATTTATCATTTTTTATTTACACATAATGCAAATAATTTATTGATCTGTTGTATATGTTCCCTTTTTTTGTAGTGCATTGAGAGTATGTTCGAACATTGTTTTCCCGCATCACTTCTTTAATTGAATTATAAATCGTGAAAGAGAAGCAGCACTTTTTTATATACAGTTTGAGATTCTTTTTCTTTATTCGAAGTGATCTTTGAAAAGCACTAACAGGATCGCCTAATCTTAGACATGTGCTGTGTTCTGTAGATGTCAATGAAGCACAAAAATTGTGTTTACAATCGTGCTTTGAAAACATGGTAATGTGAATATCAATTACTTCTGAGTTTAGAAGTGGAAAATATGCATTTGCACAAAGAAATAATTTTTCTAACACGTAGAAACATAGAACATTAGCACTAGTCATGGACAAATGTAGATGTTATAGTTGTTCTTTCATATTGGATGATAAAGCGTTACTTGAAATATTATTTGAATCAACTTTCAAATGTTGCTTAAATATACTTTGATTTCTTTTTTTTGATACAAATAAAGGGAATTTTCCATTAATTCTATCCTCCTGTCACTAAGTTATTAACAGTGGTGATAAAAAAGAATAAACATAATCGGGTTTAGATCTAACTCACAAAGGCTTCATTCTAAGTTTTATAAATGATTTTTTGACATTCTGGAAGCAGTAAGAAATGGGAGGAGGATGAAGCGAATGAATGATGGTGAATAGCAATAATCCGAAATAACCATAATTTGAGATTCTGGAATATGACAAAGTAGGAAACTGTTGTTTATTGAACTGCGTTATAATTATACGTTTATTCACTCCATATCTTTAAAATGTAATATGTTTTTGAATGTTTCCTCTCACTTGGAAACCCCATCTGGTCATTAAATCGAGATTTCATGTATTTTGTTGATTATTCAGTGGAACAATTTAGATTCAGCAGGTTATTCTCTTTTTATATGTTTAAATATTTTCCTCCGTGTTTTTGACTTTTTACTACTTCAGTACCCAATCAATGGATGTATTTGATTGTATTTTTCGTACCAGTTATTAATTTAAGTAGTTTTCCTGAAGTTTAAAGCATTGTTTTTTCAAAAAAAAAATCAGTTACTCCAATTTATGACAAGTTTTGTTTCGTATGTTTACGAATTTCAGGAAAACTACTTAAATTAATAACTGGTAAATATAAACAAAAATTACGGAAGTTTAACTTTAGTTTGTTTTCTTTCTCTGTCGTATAAAAATAAGAGTATTTACATATAATAAAATGACTGTTAGGAGTGTTTTGGAAGAAAGAAAAAATATCTTTTTGTGTAGTAGAAATTCGTCCAGAGAAAAATCAGCTTGGAGCTTAAAGATTTAAATTTGTATTTTTGTTGAGCTGACTTTTGGATCTATAATGTCCATAACAAAATAAGATCTTAGGAAAGGGAGGAAGAAGGCATTGGGGTGGAATGCTTCCTTCCTTCCTTCATTGTGATTTTATTGTCTATTATTTTTAAATCCAGAAAAAAAAACGTTGAACAAAATAATACTGAAAATGGAGAACAGTAATTCAATGCATCTATTAATTTCAATGTTTTCCTTTTTAAGTAATCAGCAAACGAAAGATTTGGAGCATTTTAGGTCTACCAGACTAATTTTGACTTGCATATAATCAGTGTGGAATAATTGTTTCTCAGCAATTAATTTTGTCTTCTCCAGTAACGAACCTTGTCATTGCCTTTGAGAAAGTCGATTGGAGTTCATACCTTCCGGATTTAACAGAAGAGAAGAGTGCAAAGAAGATTATGTCTTGCTACAGTTTTAAACTACAAAAGAATCTAAAAAGCCATTAAACCATTATCATTCGCTTTTTTCTCTCACTTTGTCTTGTACATGCTTCTGTGTAAGACAGAGGGAGAAAGGAAGAAAAGTACCGAGAGGTAGGGGAAGAGAAAAACAGGAATGATGATGGTTGAATGGTCTGGATGCTATTAGCTTGGAATTTTGCTTTGTTTTATAAATGTTAGGAGCTGGACTAAGCTGGTTCCATTACAGTATGAATGATAAGGTAGTCTCAGAATAAATAGATTGATAATTTGTTTAATAAAAATGCTTTTTAATTTAGCTATACAATTTCATTTGTTTCTTATCTTCGAAAATTATTTCCAAATTATTTTCGATCACTAAATGTGCTTTCCATGATTAAATTCATAAGCATTACAGTTTTCATCAAAGTTGAGATCTAAAGTCGTTATGACACTTACAAATTACGATTCTGTTTTACATCTTTCCTAATCTGTCTGTTCAGTAGGGATTTTTCCAACAATTTGTCTGTTAAGATAAGTAATAAAAATATAATCACAGTTGGTTGAGTTAATTATTAAAGTATGCAGTTTTGAATTTTGCCTGTTCTCTCCTTTACTTTTCCTGGCATGATATCTACTGTATAAACAATGTATCTACCGTAGAATAACTCTTGTTATTGTTCTATTTTATTTATAATATAAAATGTATGATAAAATATCTGTGGAAAAGATGGATTGAAATCTTTTCACTGTTTGTGAGATAGCTTTTTTCAGTGTAATATCTTATTATATTTTGATACCATTTTATTAGACGGCATCAATATAGTAAATTACTACGATAGTAATCCACCATAATTTCTAATAGTATTGCTGCTGTGCCGGTAGAAAATTTATCTTTGGTTATTATATTCTCATTCTGTTTTTATTTGATAATTTTTGACTATAATTCAATCACGCGGTCTCGATCTACCAATATATTGCATCTTTCAAGGAACATTTTTTTTCGAGACTTTTTTGTCACTCTTATTGTTATAGGTTAATGTTGTGTGGCAATTTTACAAGTTGAGAATAGAAATTTGAACACTGTCAGTTAGTAATCATTGTTTGTTATGATAATATTCAGAGAAAGTTTGTGGAAGATTAGTTTCTGTAAATTTTGAATGCAAAAAATTCATTTTTCATGAATTGCCATTGCAGACCAAAGACAGCGGGAAACAAGAGGGAACAGAAACGCTATATTTATATATTTGCCATTTATTTTCGTTGGTTTTCCCTTTTTATCCTTCTTATCATCCCATTGTGGATGCACTGTTTATTCGGCCATCTGCCTAAGGTGCACATATGCAGAGTGCACATTAATTATTAGAAAGGTGAATTTAATAGTACTGGAAAGTTGAGAAAAAAGATATATATTACTAAAATAAAAAGTGCATATTCTTTCTTCTGTGGCCGTCAATGTTTGATATAAAATCCACCGATCATATGCTGTTTCTCCTTTGTTAGCTGTTCTACTAACAGATCTGTTGTCTGATATTCTAGTTTTGTGAGAAATATTCAGGAGTTATTAACGATAAATGAGCAAGAAAGGATGGTTTTTCTGCGTTCTTCATCTACAACATCACCTTCAACATGTTGTATGGAATATGCACGCGTCGTATCGATGAAGGAATTGGATTCAAGTCTGGCAATGCTTTCCAATTATAATCAATCAACCGCTAAAGCACAACGGCGACAAACTATCGCGTCGTGTATGGGTGTGATGATAACCACTTTGAATACAGCAACAACATTGGATGTACTGAATCATTCTGGAGTTCTGATTACTCCACCAACAACTCCGGATACCGCGCAAGGTAATGCCATACACAGGTGGAGCGCTTCGTCGATTTCGTCGATTGTTTCTGGAGGTATTCAGTCGTCGTCATCCTCACTGCATACAAGTCAGCAGTCTAGTATGTCATGTTTGGGTTTCGGTGAAATGAAAAAAAAAAACAAGTTAAATCCTAAAACATCCACCAGTGTATTCCCTGATCTTATCGAAACTATGAGGTAAGCATCGTTCAGTCTCGTTGTCATCGGTTCATGCAAAGCAAGGATTAAGAATGTGATTGCTGATAAATGAGATATTGATAGAATTTCTCTTTCTCTCTATTATCTTTTGTTTTTAAGTGAAGTTCAGAATAATTTTGCAAATGATAATTCCAATGCTGCTGTAAGTAATATCATGCATACATACGACAAAGACAACGACTTATATCAATAAAACTTCGGTCGTATACAGTAACGATAGTCGCATACATCGAATTTGTACTATTGGCACCGTCAGTTTTTCATATTTTACTGTTTTGTCTCTTAACATAAATTCAGTATTATTGTTGGAGAAAGCGTTTCTTTAATTTTTTCTGTCAATTTATCATTAAACTTTTTTTTTGCAAAGCTGGTTGTGTGTATTTTATAGCTATAATTTTTTTTTTTTTTGGATCCGCCATTGGTAGTTGAGGGATTTGGTAAAATATTTTATAGCTTGAAAATAAGTCATGATATTGCTGAATTTTGTCCACCAACGATAGAAGTTCGAATTGCCATCGGCTATCCAATGAGATATTTGATCATATTTAGTGTGCAGTTATTGATCAATTTTGTAGCTGATTGATTTTTTTTTCATTATATCTGTATGTAATTAATTTAAGAAGTTAGGCTAAGTGTACTTAGGCTAAATGTGTACCCCCCTCCCCTTATGTTTATAAGCAGTGGTTACCAGTAGATTTAAAGTGTAACCTTTTGATAGTCCTTTTTTAGGTTTTAACTTTTGTGACTCCGTTAAGAACTCTTGGTCTAAAGAGGGTTTAAAAGCTAGCAGGATGTTCATTATTCCTTGTACTGCATTCGATATTGTTATTACCATTCAGCACTTGAGTATTTCTGACTTTTTACTAAATAAGACAGTTATTAAACAAAAAGGCATTATAACTCTCTTTTTTGCCATCCTTTTCCTTTTCTCTCTTACCTCTTTTTGTAATCGATGCTAATGTTAAAGTTGAGCTGTGTATTCTTGTTTCGACTTATTCAAAAGTCTGCTTTTTTCCTTTTCATGTTTCTTTTCCTTGAGTGAATATTTTTCTTAAGATTGAGTAAAGATGTACCGCAGAGTATTGCTAAAAATTAAATACCGATCGTTATCTGGTTTTTTCGGTGATTTACCAATCTGCTTGGCTATATGTTTCATTCGTTTTAGATTACGTAAACATTTTCAGATAAAAAATTTTTTGCGGAAGTGAAATTAAAAAGGAGAACGATTTTTGTATTTTTTGTATTAATTAGTTAAGAAAAAGAAATGTTAATAATAATACATTTTGCAGGGCAGCAGCAAGTACATCAACAACCGGTCAAAATGTAGTACCTATTGATAATAAAATTGAACAGGCCATGGTTAGTTTGTCGTTTTTGATTTTTTGAAGAAGCGTTACTTTCAGATCAGTTATACTGTTTTTAATTGTATAGCCTCGTATCATTATCATATTCTTCAACATCAGTGGCAAATGTTGTTGAACTGGTTTTTTTATTTCAAGCTACTTTTAAATTGGATTTTGCTCACTTCAAATAACATTTTTCATGACATCTTGGTTAAATCCAATAATCTGTGGTCTTCGTTTAAATTTTTTCTCAAGATATAATTTTTCTCTTGCAGTGTTAGGGTGAGGGTTTTTGTTAAAAGATAGTAAGAGGACAATATTCTTAGTAACTTTACGAAAGTTCGAAAATTTTGATTTTGGATCTAAGTTTCTAGAATTAAAGATAGAAAGTCACCTTTGATTTCAAAAATGTTATTTGAACAACCAATGTTATTTAAATGACTGTCGTTTACTATTCACTTGGTGATGTTTGCTCATTAGAAAGAACTCTCTTAAATAATACTTCAAGAAATAGTGGTGATATGTCACTAGTTACCAGTTTTGTTTGTACTGTCAGCTGATTAAAGGGACTTCACCCTTTTTTGGTATAAGATTGAATAATGAAATCAATTTCATCTGTATAATATTCTGTAAAACATTTTATGTTTTTTTTTTTTACTCTGAGGCTTTCTTACATAATTTGACATCTGTTTTTAGGATTTGGTCAAGACCCATCTAACATTTGCTGTCCGCGAGGAAGTAGAGATCCTACGCTCCACAATTGTTGAATTGGAAGCAAAAGTAGGTGATAATTTCTTCTGAAATTTTGGTGCCAGAAATAAGATCAGGCATTCATTATTTTCTTTTCCGTTCTTTGCTATAAATCAAGTGCTAAGTTTAGACTTCTCGGGGATGTTATGTTGTTATTTTCAGGTTGCACAATTGGAAAGCCAAAATCAAGTACTGAAGCAATTTGCTCCAGCAGAAGTAGTTAATTCATTGGCAGTACTTATACAGCAACAGCAACAAAGACAATTGCAATTACAACCGCAGCAACTCTCCTCCGGTGCCACCTCACCCAATCCTGCACAGTCTCTTTCTGTCCAGGTATTATATCTTTTATATTTTTAAAAGCAGGGCATATATTTAGTGCTGTTATTCCGTGCTCTTGCTCAAGAATTTTAAGCATATCTTTATATATAAAACAAAATTTGGTTAATTCAATTATTGATTTTAAAAAATATTTAAAAAATCGAAGAAAGTTCACTCTTTCTTGAAACTTAAAAATTCAAGTTTTTAAAATATCGAGTTAAGACTTAATGTTGATGGATTTTTTGGAGGTTCTTCAATTATTTTGATAGGCATAAACCTAATTGGCAGAATTTAATGAAGTTATTTTGAAATACCCCTAAGTTTAATATAATTGCCATTTTTCAAGATGGAAAAAGATATTTGGCATTTTATGCTGCTCATTAATATAGTTTTATGTAAATTTTTTTTTAACTGCTGTATACTTTCGCTTTTCATCCTTTTCAGAGTTTCTTATTTTTCAATGATGTCATTTATCTGAGGGTTTTTTTGAATTAAAAATTTCTTTTATAATTCGTTTTTCTTCGTACAGTACATTTTTTTAGATCACTAGTTTTATTTTCTAGTACTACATAGAGACGAATCATTCCAACCCATATTGCCATACTTTTATGTGTTTAATTGTATGTAATTATGTGTTAAGTGAGGAAAGCATTCTAGAAGACGGTGTTTGCCTCTTTTAAATAGGCAAGATTTGTGGACGAAAATATAAATGAGTTGGATTCTTTATGCACTAGATTTCTAAATCTAACTATCTGCTACTTCTAAATCTAATTGTTATCTCGTCGACAGCGAGGTTAACATACAATTCTGCACAAATGGCCAGGAAATTTCGAAATGTTACTTCATTTAATAGCAGCTGTTTAAATTTTTCTTTATTCTCTAAACCCATCAGTTCATTTTGTGTTATGAATCGTTATTCATGAAAATATTTTTTCTCTTTCCTTTTTATTTTAGTTTATAAGATAGGCCATTCTATTATTCATGATTTAGACTTTTCCCATATATATATATAATTCAAAAAGAATTTCATAATGAAACTTCTTACTGCTATCCCTATACTTGCGATAACGAAATATTTGCAGCTATCTCTATTTTACAGTTAACGTTATTGTGGTTCAATAGTTTACTAGAACAGTGCGGTTATTTATATATAGTAGCTTCGCTATGACCATAATATGTTTCTCTTTTGCGAAGGAGTTCCACAGTTTCAGTGATCATCGAATCATTCTATTTAATTTAAATCAAAAAAATTAAGATAATTTATTGGACAGTATGAAGTCCCGATTTTTCGTCACGTTAATCCGACCTTTGAACAACCAAGTGAAGGGAAGAAATACATCACTATGCTAAGTAGTGGTGAGACATTTTTCGGAATTCAATCTGATAAGTTCTTGATGATTTGAATATCTCAGTACATTTTATGTTTTAAGCAATTGATAATGTTTCAGAATATGCCAGTATCAGTTCAAGGTACCCAGAAGCAATCGATGCCTACGGTGACATCTGAAATTTCCGTTGGCCCAACTTTTTTGCCAGGTGTTGTTCCTTCTGTTGGTTTGTTATCCGAAGTACAGTCAAGCGTAGAGCAAAAGCAGTCAAAGCAACTTCCCGTCACTGATAGCACCATTGATTCCAACATACAGTAACAGTAATGTTGGTTTGGATTACTTGTGTCGTGCTTTCTCTTTCTTTCCATTTTATACTGAAGTACCAAAATTTGTGTTGCAGTTGTAAATGGTAGCTTCCTATGTTTCCAAGCAAAAGAGAAGAAAAAATAAACTGCTTCACTATGCCATTCAGGCATTGAGGAGATTACGGTACTATATTTCGAAGTAGTGGGTCCCAGTATTTTTTGTCCTGTTCGAAAAAAAAATTTTAAAAAAAAAAGGCTTGGAAGTTCCGAAGAAAAAAAGGAAGTGGGATCACTATTGTAGGAGAATCTACTGATTTATCAAATTATTTGTGTACTCTCTACTGTGGTAGATTATTAATCTATTTGTTTCTAGCGTTTCATAGTTATTTGATTTCGGATTCGGCTGGAAATAATTTATTAGATGGGAAAGAAAAAAGCTTAATCAAGTGGTGAATTAAGCGTTAAGCTAATATTTGAAGATCAATCAGTGGTCATCTGCAAGCAGCAAATGATCACTGATTGACATTTCCCAGGTTTCTGATAAGACTATTAGTGTTTTTTGTTCCAAAGCTTTTTAATCTTTCTGCTATAGGAGAATGATGGTTGGAAAATATTCAGTGCTCCAGGAAGCATATGGGAGAGTTTAAGATTTGATTTCAATTATTTTGTTTAGTCTAAATTAAAAAAATGAGAAAAATGTGTTAAGTCTGGGTAGGGTGCATAAATTAATTCTATGCTTATGGAAATTTAGTGTTAAGGAAGTGAAAAGATTGCCAACCGTTATTCTTTTATTTCATAGTATATTGTTTTAATTTTTATTGTTCCTACATCGTGATCGTTCATCTGTAATTATAATGTGTGATATGAAGCAGCGATATCTGCGCATTTTTCATGTGTCCACTTTCAAAATATATTCCCAGCTTATGCACATGGTATGATCTTAAGATTCAATTCATTGGTTTTCAAATTGATGTACTTTTGGACAAGACTCGTTGATAGAAGACGATATCTGGCTCTTTTCTCGTAGTATATTATAAAGTTTTGTTATTATCTATGGTTTTTAAACTACTTAGTTAAATTGGTCCATTTATGAGTGATCCCAACGTTATGGAATTTTAATTTGGATGTTCCGTGCTGAATCTCCTGGTAAGCCCTTATATGATAGCCTGCAAACTTACGGGAATCCAATTAGCGCTTTTTGAAGAACTTATTCCGTGCAACACTATCATGCTGTAATCGGTTTGGACTTTATAAACATAATTATTATACTGTTAAAAAAAGGCTTCTCTTTCCAAAATTTGCCTTTTTTATTGAAACTGAGGGATATGAAGGCCTGATCAGCAGTAATAGATGAGATGTATACTTTGAAATCGTAATGTAGAACTCAGTTATTTGAAATATTGGTTAGATTTGGTTGTTTGATGTAAAAGAATTTTAATGAACAAGATGAAAATTGTTTTTTATCCCATTAATTATTAAACTTTACGAATGAATCCTTATAGTAAAGAGAGTTATTACTTATCATATCCGGTGATATCATGTCTAGTTTAGCAGGTTCGCGTAACGTGTGGAAAGACATTCTGATTTATTTTATAAGATCTAAAAATCTTTGCAAAAATTATCATTCATACTTAAAAAAGTGGTTTCTATAATCTATCCACGGTTCCACTATTTATTCAACTTCTAACTGATACTGAGAATCCGAAGCCATGGAATAAAAAAGCGAAATGTTCTGGAAGTTATTGATCCAGGAATACGGGACGTGGACATTCGATATATTGATATGACGTTTTCCTATTGTTCATTAGCTTAATGGTATCGTGTTGGAAATAGCTTTCAAAAGCATACTGTATTCTGTTCATTGTTGTAAATGCACGTTTATTGAAGTACAGAATCTTCTGGAACTGGATTGATGAATAATAAGGGTGAGGAGGAGGAATTCACATTCTATTTGGTTATCCGGTATATCCTCATTCGGTCATCATCACTTATTGCTGAGTTATATTATCAGGAGTAACTACTGAATAATAAAAGATCGGAAGCTAGGTAAAAAAACATTTTTTATTCAATTTCCGATCTATCATTGTGTGGTAGAGACAGAGGCATCTCTTGTTGCCAGGATAGTAGCATCAATAATGTCAATTATCGCTTATTGAGATGAGATCTAAGTGTTATTTCATAATTCACTAAGTTTTAATTATGCTGATTGAAGGAAGTCTCATATACTGAACACTGACAGTCCTTTGATAAATGAATGATATACCGTAGGATATGCTACATAACATATGTGTACGTT